CTCGAACCCGCGGGCTCAGGCAACCCACTCACCTCAGCCTCCCAAAGCGCGGGATTACAGGCTCAGCCACCGAGCCCGGCCTTCCTCCACACCTTTACTCATACTGTTCCCTCCATTGGAAGCACCCTTTACTCCAACCCTGGCTGAACAACTCACCTCATCCTTCAAAGCCCAGTTAAAAATATCTCCTCCTTCCATCATAAGCAGAGAGGGTAGAACTTACACTACTTTGCGGATTCCTGTGGCAGTGTGCGTCCTCCCATTCAGCTGTCTTATTGGCCGCACCAGTGATCTTGGATTAGGGTTGTCCTGGAATACTTTGAAGGTGAAGTGAGTCCGGAATTCTTCAGAGTACTGCATCAGAGAGAACTGGGACAGAGGCACCTGGCTTACACTGGAGAAGGCGCCCCACCTCCCCACACTTCTCCCAGCAAGACCTGTTGCCTAAATCTTGAAAAACTCACCTCCAAATTCCTTTTCTATACAGCCCCCAATCTCTCTGCATCACCAGGATAGAGATCTACCATCAGCTCCCACTTCTCAAGGCTAGAACTCAGCCAGAGGTGACATGCTGGTTTCATTTCCCATGTCAACCCCTATCAATTAGTCAGAGTTGTCTGCATTACAGCAGGCTAAAGGAACCCTGAGGCTGCAACCAGACAGAGTAGAAAAGAGAATCAGAAGAGAAAACCACAACTGGTTGTCAATTTGGCAATTTCCGAACTGAAGTAGGAAGGAAAATAGGTGGCCTGGTTGCCATATATTTGCCAGCCTTGTATGGGCTATTCCCTAACCTACCCATTGGCCCTCACCAGGGTTTTGGACTTTTTTAATTGTTCCATCACAGTGTAGACAAACTCCTTCATTCGTTGAAAGTCACTTGGGTTGATGCTACCAGAACCATCAATTAAGAAGGCAATGTCACTATCCTGTTGAGGACACCCTGAGGAAGAGGAAAAAGAGTATGAACTGATTATGTAATTAGAGACCTGGGCTCAGTGGCTCAGCCTGTAATCCTAGCACTTTGCGAGGCCTAGGCGAGTGGATTGCCTGAGCTCACAAGTTCGAGACCAGCCTGAGCAACTTGGCCAGACCTCATCTCTACAATAAATAAAAAAAAATTAGCTGGGGCGTGGTGGTGTGTGTCTAGTTCCAGCCACTTAGAAGGCTGAGGAAGGATCACCAGAGCCCAGTACATCAAAGCTGGGATGGCAGTGAGTGTGCCACTGCACTCCAGCCTGGGCAACAAAGACTCCAACTCAAAAAAAAAAAAAAAAAAAGATTCAACCCATGCTCCAAGCTAAACAAAAACGTGAACAAAGAGCTATGAAAAGTTGTGGTAAGCTGGGTTCGGTGGCTCAGCCTGTAATCCCGCGCCTTGGGAGGCTGAGGTGAGTGGATTGCCTGAGCCCGCGGGTTCGAGACCCGCCTGGGCAACTTGGTGAGACTTCATCTCTACAATAATTCAAAAAATTAGCTGAGCATGGTAGCGCGTGCCTGTAGTTCCAGCTACTTGGAAGGCTGAGGCGAAAGGATCGCCGGAGCCCAGCAGGCGAGGTTGCGTTGGCCAGGAACGGCCACTGCACTCCAGTCTGGGCAAGAGAGTGAGACTCCATCTCAAAAAAAAAAAAAAAAAAAAAGTTGTGGTAAATTCTGCCCAAAGAAGTCAGAGAAAATGGTGATATTTGGCTAGATCATGAAGAATGAGAAACGGTTTGCCAGAAACACAGAGGGAGAAATAAATTCTAGACAAAGGAATAGCACATATGAAGCTGTGTCAGATGTGCTCCTCCCCTCCGCCCCCACCCCCAAATCCACTTTCCGCCCTTCTCCACTCTGCTTTGTGGCCTATGAGGTCGACCTACATGGACCACATCAACAGTGTTCCTTTGCCCTCTGACTTCTAGTTTAATTTGGCCCTTGAGACACAACAGGAAACTGGAAGTTAGAGGGAGAGTGAGGTCAGGATACTCTCCCCTTGGCTTCCTCCCTGTGGGGTTGTTTTGGGCCAGCTATGTCCTCAGCAGAAGACCACTGTGCCTCTCAAGGAAGCCTGTTCCACGTGGCTCTCTCCAGGTCCTGGGAACCTCTCCTCTCTTCATACCATCAGCCTGGGGGTAGTAGATCTGCTGCTGTTTGCCTAAGGGCTTGCCTTCTAGTTCTCTTAGATCATATCACACCTTTATAATCAGTCCCTTTGTAAATAAACCTTCCTCAAATTACCCTGTTGGAGTGTGCCATCTGTCCCCATTGAGACTCTGACAGATGCAAAAGGTATGGGAGTTTAAAGCGTTTCTAGCAGGATCAAAGAACAGAAATGGCACCACAGGGGTAAATGTATGTGATGAAGACAGAGATAAGACTAAGCAGAGAAAGAACCGCTGGTATGGGCTTCTCTACTCCAATAAGAAGTTTGACTTTATCCTTTGTACGATGGGGAGCCACTGAAAGTTCTAAGAAAAGGAAGTGAGATGATTCATTTTGTATTTTGGAAAGATCGCCATAGCAGTGAGGAGTATATACAGCTCTATTTGTGATGGCCAAATGTTAGAAACAACCCACCATTAAGTATCAACATTGGAATTTTTTGTGCTCTATTTGTACAATGAAATCCTGTAGAGTAACAAAAATGAATGAAATACACTTCATGCAAGCATGTGAAAAAAGAAAAAAGGGGGAAAAAAAGAAACAACCCAAACATCCTTCAATGAGGGGACAGATGAACTGCTAAATAGGACGTGGTAAAGCCATACAATGGAATACTGTTCAGCAATAAAAAAGAAATGAACGGCTGACACATACAACAAAATAGGTTAGAAAAAAGTGAACAATATACATGTGTGTGTGTATGTGTGTGTGTATGTTTGTAAATACACGGAGCATCTCCAGATGGAGATACAAGAAACTGGCAGCAGTGGTTGTCTCCCAGAAGGAAACAGGAGCTGGGGAGACCAAAGGAGAGAGATCTTTACAGTACAGTGTCTTTTAAATTTTGAACCAAGAGCATGTATTATATATTTTTAAATAAATAAAAAATTTTTAAGAAGTCATCTTGGACTCCTGAGAGTGAGGTCTAAAGAGAGAGAGGTAGAGGTGGTCACTGAAACCACAGGCAGCCACAGATGGTATCATACAGGAAGAATGCGTGGGTGAGATAAGAAGCTGGGTCCTGGTGCCCCTAGATGGACGGAAAAGGTAGAGGAAGACAGCCCAGGAGCGAAACTGAGAAACCCAGGTTGGTGGAGAAGCAAGAGGGTGGGATGTCTGAAACTGAAATGTCTGGAAAAGGAAGAGCAATCTATAGGTCACATCAGACAGGTCAGTGAACATGAGGACAGAAAAGAGAGGTAGTATTTAGGGGTCACAGAGGCCATTGCCAAGTGCAATGGGTCTGTACAGTGGGTGGAAAGAAGCCAGACATCAGTAGGTGAAGAACCATGAAATGAGGGAAATGGAGACAAGGCGAGAGAACCCTTTCAAGAAGTTTGGTGGTAAAGGAAAGATGGCAGAAGATGAGAAGGAGACTAGAAGAGGGAAGATGATTTTTTGTTGCTATCCATTTTGATTGTTTTTAAGATAAGGTAGCATGAGCATATTTACATTCAGAGGAGGGGAAGAAATGAAAGCTCCTAGGGAGAATACGTGACTGGAGATGTGGACTCCTTGTGGTGCATGGGAGATCTTTAAAAGCACAGATGAAAGAATTAGTCATAGGAAGGAGAAGAGACAGATCTTCCTGTAAAACCAGTGAGTCACTGCCAAGGGTGGTGCCATTATGGAAATTCAGACAAGAAGGAGGGTAAAGTGGAAAGAATCCACACCTGGAAGTTTTTGTTTTCTATTTAGGGGAAGAAGGGTTATCTGTGGAGGTTAAGTACAGAGAAGCAGGGCCTGAGAAACAAAAACTGTAAAAGGGAGCAATAGCTACCACTGGTTCCAGAGCCAACTTAGAAGCAAGCAAAAATACAGCTGAGCAGTTGAACAAAGCAGTAAGCGAAAGCAGCTTGAAAGATTAATTCACTTGCGCACTTTCTCTCTCAGTCAACAAATGTTTGAGGAACAGGAGTGTGGAAGGTAGCCACCAATCTAGTTCCCAAGATTCCTCTCCTCCTAGCAATTGACACCCTTGCATAAACTCCTCCTTTTGAATGTGAGCTGAACTTTTCTTTTTTTAAGAAAGCAGGATTTATTGAGAGAACAGAAAAGCTCCCGCAGTGGGAGGGGACTCGAAAGGGTTGCCCTTTTTTTTTTTTTTTTTTGTCAGGGTCTCACTTTGTTGTCCAGACTAGAGTACAGTAGCTTGATCATGGCTCACCGCAACCTTGAACTCCTGGGCCAGACAACCCTTCTGCCTCAGCCTCCCAAGCAGCTGGGACTACAGGCTCATGTCAACATGACTGGCTAATTTTTTCTTTTTTTTTAAGAGGTGATTTCTTGCTAAGTTGCCCAGGCAGGTCTCAAACTCCTGGGCTCAAACAATCCTCTTGCCTTGGCCTCCCAAAGTGCTGAAATTACAGGTATGAGCCACCGTGCCCAGCCTGTGAGCTGGACATTTTTACTTACTTCAAAGCAATAGAATATGGCAGAAGTAATGAGAGGTTGCTTCTGAGATTAGGTTATAAAGCCTGAGACTTATGTCTTGGGTGCCCACTCTCTCTTGCTCTCTCCCTCTCTTGTCCACTCACTCTGCCAGAAGCTGGCTGCTACTTTGTGAGCTGCTCTTTGGAGAGGCCCACCTGGCAAGCAACTAAGGGAGGCCAACAGCCAGTGAGGAACTGAGGCCCTCCACCCAACAACCACATAAGTAAGCCTGGAAATAGATCTTCCCCCTGCCAAACCTTCAGATGAGACCGTAGCCCCAGTTTGACAACTTGACTTCATCTCAAGAAAGACCTTGAGGCAGGGGCACCCAGCTAAGCCATGCCCAGATTCCCAACTTACAGAAAATTTAACATAATAAATGTTTGTGGCTTTAAGCTGCTAAATTCAGAGGTAATTTGCCAAGCAACAATCGATACAGGGGCATAAAGCAGTGAACAAGCTAGGCAATCCCCTTGCTCTCATGGAAGCTACATTACAGAAGAAAGGGCAGGTGAGACATGAGAAAAATATAAGAACATAGATTATGAAGGTGACACAGTAGGGTCGTGTGGTACGGAGTGATGACGGGAATGGCTAGAAGGGCCACATAGGACAGGCCTCTTCAAAGACATGAGCTGAAATGACAAGAATGGTTGTCAACCGAGATCTGGGGAAGAAGAGCATGACAGGCCAGAGGAATAATAAGAGCAGAGGCAGAGACAGCTTGGTTCTTGGAGGAGAAAGACAGTCAGAGTGGCTAGAGCACAATAGCTGAGGTAGGAGGGATAGGAGGGGATTAGAAAGGTGAGCAGGGATGCACATCCACAGCATCAGAAGCAAGAGGCCAAGGTACCTGCTCTAAGGACAAGGGTTGGGACATCTGAGAAGTCAGGTGGCCTGGCCCTTCTCTCACAACAGTGAGTGGCTATGTCGTGACCTTCCTTGAAGAGCAACACCCTAGCACTTTCACTAGCTTCTCTTTCTGGAACCCAGTTCCTCCATCCTTCTCGGCCTAGAACTCTAAGTCACCCTCCAGACCGCCCAGTCCTGCCCCCAACCCTCTGATCTCACACTGCCCGTCTGTATCCTCTGCCAAAGGCGACGTACCTCTGAGGGTCTCTGGGAACCTCTGGGGCTGCTGCATTAGGCTGGATCCAAACTGGAAGCAGAACCCTTTCACATACGTGTTCTCCTTGCAAGTCTGGTGCACGGTGGGACCGCAGGCCTAGGGAGCAGGTGCCAGTGGAAGGGGTTGCCCCTGCTTCCTCCTTTTACCCCAGTATCTCCATTCTCCACAAGATCCCCAGTCCCACCAATCCTGGGCCCTTAAAGTCCCCCCTTCACTCCTGTGACCCAGGACAACTCACCAGCAGCTGGGAGGGGCTGGTAGTAGCCGCCAGAGACAGGCCTAGGGACATGTTCACAGCCTCCAGGGGGACTGAAGGGACAGATATTTACATGGTTAACCTCAGGGAGATCAAAAGGGCTGTGTAGGAACTGGGCAGGCGTCATCTTAACCTGGGAGACACAGAGGTCTGATAGGTCAAGTGGGGCACCTAGGTCATGGGAAAGAAACATGGCAGGCTGCCTGAGGGTGTCTAGATTAGAGTCTACAGAAACAGCAGAGGTTGGGGCACCAGACCCCTGGGTCCTCCCTGCCCCCTGACTCCCAGAGTGCCTGTCAAGACCCAGTGTGTTCACAGGTAAAATCCTAGCCCTGGGTCCCAGGCAGGGGCAGTGACTCACCCTGCAGGCGGATGGGCTCGCATGAGCCTATGCCGTAGTCACACTGGTAGAGGACACCTGTTTGGTTGGCAGCCATTATCTCCTGAGGGGCTCCAACCACCACCCTGGGAGGAGAAGGGGAAACCAAGAAAGCTCTCGCATGTGGGGAAGGAAGGAGACCACAGAAGAAGTTCTATCCCCAGAGGAAAGTAGGAACTCACATACAGATTCCTGAATTTCCATAAATAGGAGGAAGAACTCGCAATGGGAAAATGTTAAATCTCAGAATGGGAAGGGTCTTTCTAAGGATGACACAAAACCCAGAAGTCATTTAAATCACACAGTCATCTTAAATAAATTTATGTATATAATAAGCTACCATAAGCAAAGTCAAAAGATGAATGATAAACTGGGAGGAGGGAGAGTAGAGCCTCATATAACTTTTATACTTACCTAATCCTGAATCATACCCCACATCTTTAAAATTGTAAAAATGTTTAAAATTTTAGGCCAGGCTCAGTGGTTCAGGTCGTAATCCCAGCACTTTGGGAGGCCAAGGTGAGTGGATTGCCTGAACCCACAGGTTTGAGACCAGCCCGGGCAACTTGGCGAGACCTCATCTCTACAATAAGTTTTAAAGAAATTAGCCGGGCGTGGTAGCGCGCACCTGTCATTCCAGCTACTTGGAAGGCTGAGGCAGAAGGATCGCCCGAAGCCCAGCAGGTCAACACTGGAGGTGGCCATGAGGTGCCACAGCATTCTAGCCTGGGCAACAGAGTGAAACTCCAACTCAAAAAAAAAAAGTTTAACATTTTTAAAATTTTAAAAAAGTCATATAGCCCAAACTATTTTTCTCAGTATATTCAAAGCTCCTACAAACTAGTTAAAAAAAAAAAAAGAAGAAGAAGAAAGAAAGAAAAGGAAAAAGCGCTCGCAGAAAAGAAAATGCATCTCCCATCGAAAGAAAAAGCACTGAAAACTGAGATACAACTTCTCACCCCCTCGAATGACAAAGATCAGTAAGTCTGATAACACACTAGGGTAGCAAATGGGGGAAGTAGGTGTTTTCATAAATTTCTGGTATGAGTGTAAATTGTTGCTACCTCTACAAAGAGTAATCTGGAAAAATCTATTTAGTTACATATGTCTGTATATACCCTTTGATCCGACGATCCCAGGTCCAGGGTTTTACTTTCAAGTATATTTGCACATGGGCAAAATGACGGCATTGTTCATATAGCAAAAGTTTGGAAAGCATTGCCAGATGTTTAATTATAAGAGAGTTAATGTAATGTAAATTATAGTACCTACAGATCAAGAAATATGATGCAAACATAAAACAGAATGCAGAAGCTCTTCATGTACTCATCAAGCTATAATAAAGCAGGAAGCAAAGAGTAGTATAGAGTGGAGATCAGCAGCTTTTTTCTGTAAAGGTACTATATAGTACTAGTCCCATAAATATTATTTCTGTCAAGGTAAATGTTTTAGGCTTTGCCTAGAGTCCAAAGAGCCATATGGTCTCTGTCACAGCTACTTGATTCTGCCATTATAGCTCAAAGGTGTACATAAACAATAAGTGACAAGAGAGTAGGGTTGTGTTCAATAAGATTTATTTACAAAAATAGGTGGCAGCCTGCAGGCTAGCCATGATTCAGTATAACATGTGCTACAAATCGGGTGAGGGCTGGGAGCCAGGAAGATGTATGTACATCTAAGCACTGTCTTTCTGGAAGAACACACGAGAAATCATTCACTGAGGTCCCTCCCGGGAAGGGAACTGAGGGAAAGGAGTGATAAAAAGACTTTTCACTCTTACGTCTTTTTGTGTCTTTTGAATTTAGAACACTGAAACTTTATGAGCTATTCCAAAAAAAATCACTGAAGGAAATTGCTGATCTTTTCAGGTATTTAAGTCTTGGAGGAAATGCATGTGAGACAGGGATTCCATCTGAGGCTCTTACCTGGATCCTGCAAGCTGGACCACACTCTGCCCAAAGCCCTTTGCATTCTCTTGAAAGGTCATTGAGTTTTCCGTGTCCAAGTTGAACCCATGACATAAGGCCAAGGCTGGAAGGAGAACAAGGGGGTAGGATCAGGCAGAGGAAAAGAAACAGGTAAGAAAGCAGCATGCCCTTATGCTCCATGCATCTTCCCATCCATTCACCACAACCCAGCATTGATATCTGCCTCCCAGGTCCAGCTCTGACAGACTGTGCAGGGATTAGTACACTTCATTTATAAAGATTGCTTGAGTTCAGGGGTTCGAGACCAGCCTGGGCAGCATGGCAAGATCTTGTCTCTACAATAAATTAAAAAAATTTAGCTGGGTGTGGTGGCACAAGCCTGTGGTTCCAGCTACTTGGAAAACTGAGGTGGAAGGTATCACCTGAGCCCCAGAGGTCAAGGCTACAGTGCGGGGAGCATGCCACTGCACTCCTGCCTGTACAACAGAGTGAGAATCCAACTCAAAAAAAAGCAAGGGCCAGATAGTAAGTATTTTAGGCTTTGCAGGCCAGGAGGCCGATAGGTCACTTACACAGGAAGAGATAAAATACATTTCCACAAATGTTTCATTCACAAAATTCAAAAAGTAATTATTGAGTACTTTTTTTGTAATAAAGGTTTACTAATGAGACAAATGGAGTTCTTTGAAGGAGGAGATAGCATTTCACTTAACTGGGGTTCAAAATTAGTGCTCCCTATCATCCATTATATCTATTATAAATGTTCACCTTCAAACTATGGCTCACAGGTTGTACAAAAACTGATGGTGGGCCACATTTGACCCCCAGACCACAGTTCATTGACCCAAGTCCTACTAACCACCATCATGGGGTGCACTCAGCCTCTCTCTGAGCTTCACTCCTCATCTAAGCACACAAATAACCCCTTCTCCCAGTGTCACCAACTCAATGATTTGCCCAACAAGCAAGTTTCTATACATTCTTGGCTAATTAATTTCCTTTCTATGCAACTCTCAAGCATTTCCTTCCCTTCTTGGCTCATTCTCCAAAAAATATAGGCGTTAAAGGAAAAATATCTCAAATTATTTTGATTCATCATTCATTCAATAAACATTTACACGTGAGTCCTTAGAAAATACAACTAGAGTCAAAGTATAGGCGTTGAGGTAGACTCCAAGGGAGGGGAGTCCAACACCTGCTGTACATCTCTGGGTCTCCATTTCCACATCTGTAAAGGGACCAGCCAAACAGCCTTGCACAGGCTATGAATTGAGTCATTCATCCAAGCTTCCCTGGCCATCCCATCTTGGTCCAGCTATACTCTCTGCTTCTTGAATCCATTATCCTTTCCCACATCCTCGTTGCCGCTCCCCAGACAAACTCCTACATTTTCTGTGACCTTTCTCTTCACTCACAGGCCCAAAAGCTCCCCCTCCTCCCCATGCTGAGGGCCCCCCAACCCCCTGGTGCACCTGTTAACAGAAGGACTCTGCAAATCATGGCTGGAAGGAACAGGAGCCTGAAGGAGTGTGCACCGTGAAGTTGCAGGCACCACTGAGCCACTTCAAGGAAGCTATCTAAGCCAGAAAGAGCAGAAAAAGAGAAGTAAGAGGCAGAAGTTTAGTAGCGACTCAAAGGAAGAGGGCGGAGGCTCAATGAGTACACAGCTCTGCTTGACCTTCCTCCCAGGACTGCCCTCAACCTGTTCTCCCTCACTACCCAGCTTCCTGACCCAAACCATCAAAATCACTATCTTAAAGGTGTCATTTATCACCCACTTTCTTGTGGGGTTGGCCAAAGCATTATGAAAAACAAGCTGAACAGACTTTGGGCCTGCCTCCTGGAACGTGTGTTCTAAACACTATTTTAAAATAGATGGAACAAGTGTGGGAGGTCAAATGCTACATCTCACCAAAAACACACCTTGCAAAGTTCCCTCCTCTAGCCTATGGAATTGGGAGCATGCTTTGGCAAGAGCTGCCCTTGTCTGTAGCTATCAACAAGGACAACTCTAGCACAGAGAAACCTGGTGGTTCTCGAATATTATTTTGCTTTAAAAAAAAAAAAAGCCTCAAGCCGGGCTCGGTGGCTCAGCCTGTAATCCCGCACCTTGGGAGGCTGAGGTGAGTGGATTGCCTGAGCCCCCAGGTTCGAGACCCGCCTGGGCAACTTGGCGAGACCTCATCTCTACAATAAATCAAAAAATTAGCCGGGCGTGGTAGTGCATGCCTGTAGTTCCAGCTACTTGGAAGACTGAGGCAGAAGGATCGCCGGAGCCCACAGGTCGAGGCTGCGGTGGCCGGGAGCAGCCACTGCACTCCAGTCTGGGCGACAGAGTGAGACTCCAACTCAAAAAAAAAAAAAAAAAAAAAAGCCTCAAAGTCTTTGCCCAAGAATGTTCCTTCCAAGAATTTATTCTAAGATACAGCTAAGAAGTAGTAAAGAAGTTCATACAAACTTCTGAAACAATGTTCACTGCAGCATTGTTTTTAATAGTAAAAACCTAGAACAACCTGAACTGAATATTCAACAACAGAGGAATGGTTAAATAATATCTTGCACTATGATATAGTCTCAATTCCATTGTGTATTGTCATCTCTAATTATGCTTTAAAAGACACAGGAAGATGCTTTCACAAAATATTATAGAATACCAAACCATACCTTTATATGACTAACGTGTCTCCCAAGCCAATGATTTTTTTCACTCTTTCTCAACACATTTTCTTTGGTCCCTACGTCTACTTTCCTGATAACCACATAGAAATAAATGCTTGCTGACTACAAAAAATCCATTAAAAATCTGTACATTTTGTTTTAAAATTATCTGTTTAAAAATATAGACGTGTAGGAAAACTAAAATGTTAATAGCGGTCATCTCCAAGATGATAGGATTACTGGTGTGTTCCAGTATCTATTGCAACATAGCAAGCCACTCCAAGACTTGGGAGCTAAAAACAGCAATGATCTCTCATGCTTCTGTGTACTGCCTGGGTTCACCAATTCTCACCGTGGAATCTCACATGATTGCAGTCAGATCACAACTGGAGCTACAGTTATCCAAAGGTTCGTTGGGCTAGATTCCCAAAATGACTCATTCCCACAGCTGGCAGTTGACTGTAGGCTAGGAGCTCAGCTGGGCTGTGAACTAGATACCCGCATGTGTCCTCCCCATTTGGCTTAGGCTTTCAGAGCGTGGACTTCAAGAGCAAGTGTTCCAAGAAGCAGGAAGTAAAAGTTCTCAGTTTCCTAAGGTCTTAATCTGGAAAGCAAGTATAGAGTTATGTCCATCATACTCTGTTAGTCAAGCAGTCACAGTGCTCATCCACATTCAAGGAAAAGGTATAGAGATCCCACCTCTCAGTGAGAGGTGTGTCAAGGAATTTGTGTCTACAATCTGCCACAGGATGATTTTAATTTTCTTCTATATATACTTTTGTATTTAAAATCTTGATACAGGCTAGGCGTGGTGGCTTACACCTGTAATCCCAGCACTTTGAGATGCTGAGGCGAGAGGATTGCCTAAGCCCAGGGGTTTGAGACCAACGTCTGGGCAACTTGGTGAGACCTTGTCTCTACAATAAACTTTTGAAAAATCATTTAACCAAGCATGGTGGCGTGCTCCTGAGGTTCCAGCTACTTGGAAGGCTGAGGCAAAAGGACCGCTTAAACCCGGCAGGTCAAGGCTGTCGTGGCCATGAGTGTACCCCTGCACTCCAGCCTGGGAGACAGAGTGAGACTCCAACTCAAAAAAAAAAAAAAAAAAAAAAAAAAAAAAACCCTTGAAACAAAAAAATGGTTTCTATAATCCTAAAGAAAAAACGCCAATAAATAATTTAAAACACCAAAGTACCTATATTTGTTTTTTTTTATAATCAATATTTTTTATTATGATATTGTGGTATACAGTTAAGGGTTAGGTATACAAATATGCTTCATTCAGGCACCCTTGTTGATAAGAGGTGTCTCTCCGTCCCCAGACAGATATTTACTACCGTTAATCCCATCTCCCTTCCCCTTCCCTCCCCCCCATAGTTTCCCACAACTGTCAGTCATTTAAGTACCATATTTGTTAGCAGGTGAAGAGGCTCAGGAAAAGAGGAACAAAGCCTTGGGCCCAGGAGGAGAAGATATCAATCAGGATGTGGGGGAGTCATTTAATAGATAAACTGGGTTTGCGTTGAACAAAGTTTTCACACTCTGACCACCACAGGAGGCTGCTCTAACTCAAACGTTGAGGCCTTTCCTGGCCATGAACAGTGGCTGAGGGGGTCCGCTTGGTAAAAATAGGGGCAAAATCTCAGAATGGCTGTCCAACCCTCAGAGCCATTCTCAATAACACACCAATCAGTGTGAACCTGAGCAGGTGACCATGGATGAATTCACATCTGTATAGGCTAACAGCCATTCCTTCCCAGGTGCCCACCCCCTCTCTTGATAAAATCTTAGCTTGAATTCCCTGATAAGTGAACCCTGAGACAAGGATTCAAGTGTAAGTAACGTACCTAGGAAAACTCCGTGAGAGCAGAGATTCTTGCCTATCTTTCTCATCTCTCTCTCTTTGCCAGTCAAATGGGTGAGAAATTGTATCTGCTTAGTTTTAAATTGCTTTTTTTTTCCATGAGAGATGCATTTTCTTTTCTGTGAACATTTTTGTCTTATCTGTTGCCTGTTTTCCTTTTCTTTCTTTTTTTTTTTTACTAGTTTTTAGAAGCTTTGAATATACTGAGAGGAAAGTAGTCTGGGCTATATGAGTTTCTAATCTCCCTTTCCACAGTTTATCATTTGTCTTTTGACTTTGCTTATGATAGTTTATCATACACACAAATTTATTTAAAACACCTGTGTGGTTGAATTTATCTATTTTTAAATGACTTCTGGGTTTTATGCTAAGAGCTGACACTGACCAAAATTAACCACAATTTACTGTCCAGATGTTCCCCTGGAAGTTGTGAGACTTTGAACAGACTCCAGAGATCCAAAATGGTTACATCATTCAGATCCTGCCAGTATAATTGCTGTCTAGGTGAGGAGATAGATTCTTGGTACTTTCTACTCTGCCGTGTTCCCAGAATTCTCTCTCATTCAATTAATTTAATAGTGCCAGGCACTATTTGTCCACCCAAAAATCAGTTGCATTGTAGCTTGGCTACTCAGAAGGCTGAGACAGGAGGCTGAAGTAGGAGGATAGTTTGAGTGCAGGAGTTCAAGGCCAGCTTATGCAACATGGTAAGATCTTTTCTCTAAATAAATAAATAAAATAAAACTGTAATTTTTTAAAAGTTGCATTTCTGTACATTAACAATGAACTGCCCAAAAAGAAATTAAGAAAACAATTTCAGAGGCAGGGCATGTTGGCTCACACCTGTAATCCCAGCATTTTGGGATTACAGGTGTGAGCCAGGAGTTCAAGACCAGCCTGGACAACATAACGAGACCCCGTCTCTTCCAAAAAAAATGTTAATTAGCCAGGGACGATTGTATGCACCTGTAATCTAAGCTACTCAAGAGACTGAGGCAGAAGGATCACTTGAGGCCAGGAGTTGAGCCCTCAGTGAGCTGTGATTGTGTCATTGCACTTTAGCCTGGGTGACAGAGCAAGATCCCATCTCTATTAAAAGCAAAAACAAAGAAAAAAAATTTCACTTACAATAATATCAAAAAGACTGAAATACTTAAGTGTTAACCTCCACAAGGAGGTAAAGGTCTTATATAATGAAAACTACAAAACATTTCTGAAAGATATTAAATAAAGGAGGCTGTGGTGAGCTGTGATCATGCCATTATACTCCAGCCTAGATGACAAAGAGAGACCCCAATTCAAAAAAATATAAAAATTTAAATATATATATTTAAAATGTTATTACTACCCAAAGTAATTTACAGATATTATATAATCCCTATCAAAATCTCAATGATTTTTTTTTTTTTTGCAGAAATAGAAATATGTATCCTGAAGTTCTTATGAAATCTCAAGGGATCCTGAGTAGCCAAAATAGTCCTGAAAAAGAAGACCAAAGCTGGAGAACTCACAGGTCCTGATTTCAAATCTTACTACACTCAAAGCCGGCCTGGGCAACATAGTGAGACCTCCTGATTTAAAAAAAAAAAGAAGAAGAAGAAAAGAAAAACTACATTAATCAAAACAGTATGGCAGGCTAAGCACAGTGGCTCACACCTGTGATCTCAACATTTTGGGAGACCAAGGTGAGAAGACCGCCTGACCCCGGCAGTTCAAGCCCAGCCTGGGCAGCTTGGTGAGAACTTTCTCTACAATAAGTCAAAAAATTGACCAGGTGTGATGGCACATGCCTGTAGTTCCAGTTACTTGAGAGACTGAGTCAGAAGGATCACCTGAGCCCAGCAGGTCAAAGTTGTGGTAGGCGTGACCATGCTATTGCACCCCAGCCTGGGCGACAGAGTGAGATCCCGACTCAAAAAAGAAAAAACAGTATGGATGGTGCTAACATAAAGATGGACATATAGACCAATGTAATAGAAGAGTCTAGAATTAAACCTTCACATATATGTTTGAATAATTTCAACAATAGTGCCAAGACCATTTAATGGGTTGGGGGGAAAGATGGTCTTTT